GCTGAACCCGCCGCCCCAAATGTCGACCTCGATGCCGGGGTCCGCTGCGCTGTACGCGCCTGCCAGCCGGCGTCGCGCCCCCTCCGCCAAAAACTCACACATATTTGCTGCAAACAACGTCAAAACGTAGGTCAGCCTCAGTCACACATCGCAAGGAAACACAGTACACCCACACACACCGTCTGAACCAGCCAACCACACACAAACAAACACCAAAACAAAACAAAAAGGTATCCAATGTAGCAAGCTCACATAGCACGTCACATAAAACTGCGCTCCGCCGGGCTGCGACGCCGCCTGCAGCGCAATGGCCTCGGCCCGGAGCTGATAGTCCCCGGCCTCGAGCGCCGGTGGGATCGTCGCCTGGAACCCCGTTGAGCAAGTCGGCGCCTCACGTCGCGTCCGCGGCCGCGTTGTTAGACCCGTGCTCGCCGATCTTGAAGAAGTCCGTCGATCCGTCTGCCACCTTCCTGAGGTATAACATCACGGGGCCATAGTGGTTTCTCCCGATGGCGGCCTTCTCGCAGCTGTGCTCTCCGACCTCTCGACCGAGACCTTGCTGCCGGCTATATCGGGTTCGCTAACTTAGCGAGCGGGAAACATGCGTTGCAGACGATGCATTGCACCCGCAACTGCAGCCTCCTCTTTTCTACGTGCATGTCTCATTAGGTCACGAAAAGGGGAGTACGTAGTGGGAACGATTTCCATCAAGAATGGAACCGGACGGGAAGGTCTCGGTGTTGTGGGGACACCTCACCTGGGACCTCGCCGGAGACGCCCGTGGCTCCGCCGACATTGCAACGTCCATAGATCGTTTGACGCGACGTCCGTGACGGGGCTGATGCTCGGCTGGACGTACGGTTATTCAGTGACAATTGTGGATCCCATCGCGACTCGGCCTACCGGAAGTCTGGCGCAGCTGCTATCCTGGTCTTTGCTGCCTGCCCATAGCTACTGGAAGATCGCATGGCCGAGAGCTGTTTACACGGTGCTTAGAAGTGCGAGTGTTGCGGTGAAGGTCTTCATTTTGACGATATGAGGATTGGCAGGATTCATTATTTCGAAGAGTTATGCTTGCCGGACAGTGTCCTATGGCCATCCGGGCAGTGTCTAGTGTGTAATCCGCCTGCCGAGACCACTTGCTTTTCCTATACTGAAGTGAATACGCTTCTCTCTTTCGTCGCTGCTATCGTCATCGCTACTTTCTTCGTCCATCCCGTCGTCCCCCATCGTCGTCATCGTCGTTATCGTCATCGTCATCGTCATCGTTGTTATCGTCATCGCCGTCCTCCATCGCCGTTATCGTCATCCCGAACATGTCTCCTACGGCTCCTCCGGCTCCTGAGGCTTGACTGGACGCGGTCTACCTCCCTTGTCACACATGGTCATACGAGCGATGAACCGCGCAGAATCTCCGTTGGGGTCGCTACTATTGCCACTTTCGTTCGAACGCGCCAATCCTTTTTCTTTGACAGTCCATCGAAGGGCATCACGGAGGACCGACCCGACCTGGTCGTAGAGAGAGTTGAAGAACTTCTTCGGGATCCAGCGAGGGATGGAACGGCGCTCCAGTCCCTGTGGGCTCCCGAGTAAAGAAACTTGTGGCCTGATTCACGCTCTAAAATTTCGAGCATGATGTGGCAAACCGCGCAACATCTCTTGTTGACTGCCATGGGGATGGGCATCTTTCGGAAATGGTCAGTGATCTCTCGGCGAGGCAAAAGCAGAGACTTGTCGACAGTCTCATGGTCATCGTTGTGATTGACCACCTCGTCACGAACCCGTGCAAGCACATGGGCACAAATTCCAATACCTTCTGCATGATAGGTCAAGTCTTCTGAATGGGCCGTGTTGTGGCCGTCAAAGAACTCAGCCAGTGCGAGCTGCTCCTCGTTCGAGAGCGGCTTTCCATTATTGCCCTTGAAGGAAGCCAATAATTCAGCCGTGGACATCAAGTTCCTTTTCGTCCAGTCAGTTACAAGAGGCTGTATGGAGGTTTGCAGAACGAATCTCGCCACGTGGCGTGAAGCGTGCATGATGTGATTGAGGGAAGTTTGATGGCGGCACAACATGCCCACAGCATCTGACACAGCCACTTCCCAGCCTGACTGGGTCGCCGTGCTCCCCAGAAGCCTACAATCATCAGTGCCCTCAGCATCAATGCCTGAGACCCCAGGCTGATGGGTTGCGTAGAGCCATGTGTAGTGCGACTGCAGAATCTCGCTGAACTCCTCGCGAATACCCGCCAGACAGTAGTAGGCACGGACGGCGGCGTCAACGACGTATTGAAGAGACTCGATATGGTATCGCTCCATGGTTTGCTGCGTGGAATTCTTGGTGCCTTTACTCGTTCTCCGGGCGTAGTTGGTTGCTTCTGTTTTGGCGTTTTGCAGTTCTGTGGTAGAATCTTTGACCGCTCTCATGACCCCAGATAAGAGCTTTTGAAACTCCGAACGACCCTTTTCGTCATAGAAAACATACTCTGGGTCTCCTTTCGCGTTCAGAGAGCTACGCTCCCAGGCTCTCTCGCCCTCTTCTGCAGTGCCGCGACCATACCGAACCTGCATCTCCTTGTAGATCTGCTTCAGCAGGGTGGATTGAGCTTGGGTCTGACCTTTCCGAAAGCAGTGTTCAAGTTCATCTTGAGGGTTCGTGGCACCTCCTTTCTGGAACGGCATCGATTCAATCAAGTCCAGTTCAGTGAGTGGGTCTGAAGTTGATCGAAGGGACTGTTGCAACCACTTGCCCATGGAGGTCGCTTTGAATTGCGAGGCCAACTGATCGACGGACGTCATGCAGATGGTGCCAAAATTGTGCTTCTCAAATATGTCGATGACACGACCATGAAGCTTCTCGGTCATTCGCACGTAAACGAGATCATGCAGCAGGTTCAGCCAGTGAAACCGCTCATCGGACTTAGCAGCTCCGTGAAACTTCTTCCACAGAGAGAGAAGATTCTGACAGTATTGAAAAGTGCTGTTGTTGCTGCGTTGCTCCCAATCCTCTTTTGCCAGCAGCCGGTATGCAAACTTGATGACGGATGAGGAATCGGTGCTATCCGGGACCAGAGATCCGTTGATCTGTGGTAGAGTGAGCTGGGGCTGCAGTCCAGTGTATTGCTGCTTCGCCTTGTCCTCACGGCGTGGGTTCTCTGAGGCGAAGATGTAGTGCGAGCCGGTGCTCGCGTCCTTCAAAACGTGCTTCTGTCAGCTCACTGTGACGTGGGTATCTGTCGACGCACGAAAGACTTACAACAGAGCCATCAGGGAAAAGGGCCAAGGGCTCAGGGCTCAAGACGGCGATGCAGTCAAGGTAGTCGTGTTGCTTTCGAACAAAGCGTCTTTCGGCCTTTGACAATGTGAAATCGTCGCGTATGGCAGCGCTCTCGGGGCGCTTGAGATGCTTGCTTTGGATGTCGGAAAGCATGGCTATCATCTTCTCGAGTCTTTCGACCTCTTCGGAAGAAGGAACCTGCTGCGGGTGGGCGTACTCGGGGTGCGCCATGTTGTCGGAGGTTGACTGACGACGACGACGACGACGACGACGACAGAGATCCGGAATGATGGTAGAGATCAAGGACGACGACGGAAGCCCGAGAGGATCGCGTCAGAAAAGACTTAGACGGATCGATAGGCGAGGCTGGCAAGGTTGGCCCTCTAGATAAAGGCTGCTCGGGAATCACAGTCGCGGGACTGTCGAGGCTGAACGGAGGTGATTTCCTTAGCCAATGCAGTTAGGGCGAAAGAGTTGGGTCAAACCGAACGAAATGAAGGTCCAGTAGGTAAATCTTGCAATGCGCACTCAAATCGGTCGTCATGAGTGTGATCGCAGAGAAATATTGACGAAGAGGAAGAAGTATTACCTGGAAGGACAGGCGAAGGGAAGCGGTACCTACCTTCCTACCGAAAGAAAATAACTTTGCTTCCAGGTGGAGACCATGGGAAGTGTGAGTGAAGATTCCCTGCAGGTGAAGGGCAGCATCACCCTCCACGTCTACAAATTCCCGCTGGAAAATCTCACTTTCCGGAGTTTGCCGTTGAGATTCCCAAGACACACATGAGAAGATCAGGAGATTTGCTCTTCTGCCCATTCTGACGCTTTCTGTTCCTACGGAGATAGTGGAAAGGTTTGTTCACAAATGAGTCACAACAATGAAGACGTACTGCTTGCTGTGTTCTCCCCCATACCTTCTACCGCAGTGTGTCCAATCTGTTCTCCACCCTGAGCGGTCACAAAAGAGAACATATGCCTTTGAAAAGCATAGACAAGCATCCGGAACAATAGAGAGAAATAGTTGGGCACACAGACAACCTTTCCAACAGTTGATCTATCTCATCGTGCATGAAAAACCACTTCATCACGTTTTTCTTACTTGGGCGTCTGATTGAGACCACAGTGTTTTGGGAGTAAATTGAAACTGCTTCTGGGGCGTACACGTTGCATGTCACTTAGGTATGATGTTTTACGAAATGTCTTAGGATGATAAAAAATAACATAATGTAGCAAGTCCTTCCAAAATCTTTACTGCTGGTGATCTCCCCACTCTCGACTTGCCAGCATCTCAATTTCGGTATCGGGGACGCTGGCATTCTGTGGCGGGCTACTGCAACGATGAAAGCTGCGGTACGCTACTCTCTCCCGCTCGGCGCAAATCTTCAACGGATGGCAAACGTCCGTTTGATGAAATCCCTGTTCTAGCATGCCCATCAACCTCCGATATTCAAAACTCGATGTCTTTGTCTCCGTAGTTACGGCTCCCGCGGAGCTAATTCCGCAGCAGAGGCGCATATGCGGGAAGAAGACATGCTCAAAGCAACCAGATGATCGATTTCCTCATCCAAGTGCTCCTCTCCGCCCAGAATCTCATGACGTGATAGAGTAGTGTGTACTCTGCAGCGTTGGGTGCGTTGACGATAGCGCCAGGCTTTAACAACCTCCCTCGACATACGTGCAGCAGCCGAAGCTATCTTTGGAAGAATGGCGGGAAAGACATTAAGATATTACAAGTTGCCATCAATTGACCTCTGCACCCAATAATCCTTCCACTCATTCTTCGACAACTCATCGGTGAATTCTTTGACCGCCAAGACCTGAAGCTCCTCCGGCACCTCGCAGCAGTGGTAAAAAGTGCTGAGCGCCACTTTCTGCTCTTTTTCACAGAGGTCCTCCATGGTCGGCAATTTCCTGCCGTCAAACCGTATCTCGTGGCGTTTGGAGAGTTTCACCGCCTTCGAAACCAGGCGGTTAACGTACTGCGCGTCGTTGTAGCGTTTGTTGTTGATAATCTTACCGCGCAGGTCCTTGCACTCGGGCAGCAGATACGCTCCCGCCTTCAACAACGCGACCATGTGGTCCGTCTTGTCCGTCAAGTGGTGGCCGTCGTCCCAGAAGGCCAGGGCGTAATGAAGCGGCGTGTACCCTGCATGATTCGTTGCGTTGACGTCAGCACCGTGCTGTACCATCAGGCCGATCAGTTCTTCAGGGTCATCGTATCCCTCAAAACCGTCCAGGGCGAAGTAGTGCAGCGGGGAGTTGCCAAGCCAGTCTTTGACGTCTGTGTCTGCGTCGCAGTGCTCCAGCAGGTGCCTGGCGAGGTTCACATCTCGTGAGCCGCACGCCTGGTGAAGCGCGTGAATTCCCAGCGTTCTGTGCGTGATCAAGGAAGACCCGGCGTTGATGAGCATCCTGGCCGCCTTTCGACACTGTTGTCTCGTGATCTGATATTCTGGTAGATAGAGGTGGTCGGCGGCCTTGTAGCTGGGGATAAGTGCGAAAAAGAGGGGGTTGACCCCTTTGGCCAGCAATTGTGCTATCTTGTCTTTCCACAGTCCAGTATACCGTAGATGGCGCCAAAAGATTGAAATGATTGAAGAAATGGGACCGTACAGTCCGGGTTGACAAGCATCCATCTCGCATTCCGGGTCGGCGCCTCGATCCAACAAGATCCTCATGGCGTCCAGGTCACAATGGTACGAGGCCCAGTGAAGGGCCGTCATGCCATGATAGAGAGGCTCCCATCGAGAATCCGTCGACTTTGTCACCTCGGTCTGATTGACGTCGGCGCCATTCTCGAGAGCCCACATCATGCCATCCAAGCTTCCATACTTCGCAGAAGGCACCAGAGCTGAGGCGTAGGCGTGCTTGACGTTCATGTCGTAGATGGTGGGCGTCATGCGATGGTAAAGAGTCTTGCAAGAGGCGGCCAAACTGACGAGGTCATGCCACACGGCAGAATTAAGACCCCCGGCAAAAACGACCTTGTTTATCCGGTGACCTTCTGCATTTTTGTCGGCGAGCGTGGATTTCAATCCATAGTTTTCAGCAATGTAACCAATAATGACGAGGATAAGTTCTTGCGGTAGATCAACGCAACTGGCGTACGTTTTGGTAATCTTGTTGGTTCCAGTGGATAAACTCGGCGATGATGAGCTAAGCGGAATGGGGCTCAGCTCACCAGAAAGGAGAATGGTATTATTATTGTCAGGATCTTGCCAAGTAGGTGTGGCGTCCGCCGCAAATGTGCGTTGAGCCGGATCCATGTTGATAATAGCAAGCTGGCTCACGTTGTGGTCTCTCGATTTTGAAATGACATGGAAATAGAGGGCAGGGAATTATGTAAGCTCATACAGGCACAAATGGCAATGTCAGAACTTCCGTACTGTGGTGTGGAAAAGCAAGTTACCTACGGAAGGTATGCAAGCGTCAGTAGGTAAAAAGTAATGATCAGGCTGAGTGAGAGGAAAATTTGATTACAGACAACGGCTAGACCGTGTCCGTGGCCAGGTACTTATGAATTTGGTCTCAGCTTCGGAAATACATACACGAGATACCTTTACGGTTGAGCAAGTCATTAAAGAAAACCTTCAAGGTTAGTCACTGTGAATGACAACTTCGAATTATTCAAGGGACACGGTATGACGAGATTTTGTTTTGGAGGAAATACGTCAGTTCAAGAGAGTTACAACAAAATCGCATAGGTTGAGCAGCGTGGATTCTCAGAGAAGTGGTTGGAGTGTGCCGTGAATCATTGCACACTCAACAGGAGACCAGTCTCTCTACTTTTCCCGGCGCTATAGCGATTATGTTTTCTGTGTGCTTTATACCGCCGTCATTTCTCGTCATTTATCGTCGTCATTTATCGTCGTCATTTATCGTCATCATTTATCGTCGTCATTTATCGTCGTCGTCGCCGTTGTCTCTTCCATTCTTTTCACGGCTGTCGACATAACGGGCCTTGTCCCAATAAGACTCCCAGTCATCCAAGCTCCAGCTGCTGATAATTTGGGTTGGCTCCGACTGGTGGCCCAATTTCCTACACCACAGCTTACACAGTTGGATATTGACCGCTTTTGCTTCCTCCTCGCTGAGCTCCACCTCATCTTCATCCACATCCGAATCGTCCTCGTCAAAATTCGAGTCCGTCTCGTCGGTTTCTGAGTCATTCTCATCTATCCTCGATAAGTAGATGTTTTGGCCTTTGGTTTCTGCGTCCAAGACTATTTGTTTCCTTTCATCGGACAAGGGCCTACGGCTCGTCGACAGATAAAAATCTAGCAAACGCTCCGAAATGATGTAAGCACCTGCGTCGAGAAACGCAAAGCATGCCTCAGTCTCAGCATGAGAGAATCTTGACCATTCAGAACGCAGAAAAGAGTGCAGCGGGGTGTATCCGGCTGCGTTCTCAGCGTTGATGTCCGCTCCATGACGGAGGAGTAAACTGATCAATTGCCTCACGTCGTTTCGGTAGGGGTCGTTTTGGTACGGGTCATATGATGATTTGACGGCAAGCGCCATGTAATGCATCGGTGTGTTCCCGAGTGGGTCTTTGACGTTTGGGTCCGCTCCAACCTCTTCCAACAGGAACCTGGTCATCTCGAAATCGTAGCCGCAGCATGCTTGGTGAAGTGCGTGAAGTCCCAATCCGGTGTGTGTGATCAACGATGCCCCAGCCCGTATCAGTAGTCTCGCTGCGTCAGTCCCAGCATCCGCGCGGGCCCGAGATCTTTCCTCGTTCCTATCATAATAGTTGCAGCTATAACTGGAAGACTTCAGAAGGGTTAGATAGAGAGCGTTGGCACCTTCGTCGAGAAGTGTCTCCGCCCGCTCGCAGGAGTAGAAACGGTCCCAACGTGTGTGCGATTTGTACACCGATTTCATCACGTTGGATGCGGGGCAATTAAGCCGGGTATCAGGAAAAGGCAACTTCACGGGCACCACGTCATTAGGGCTGGCGCCGCGTTGCAATAGAATATCCATGGCGTCCAGGTGCCGGTGGTACGAGGCCCAATGCAAGGACGCGAGCCGCAGAGCAATTGGTGTTCGGGTGGTCTTTTTCTCGTCCAAAATCCACAGCTCGGTGCAATCCGGAGAGTCGATTTGTGCCCCAAACTCCAAGGCTTTCAATATGCCGGCCACGTTGCCCCTTTTCGCGGAGAGGAGTAGGGCGGAAGAGTGGAAGGCATAATTATCCAGTCGGTAGATCATCGGCGTGATGCATTCGTGGATTCTTCTGCAGGTCGCAGCGAAATTGACCATGTCTCGCCAAATATCAAAGCGATGAAAGCGATCGTCATCGCCTCGTGTCTCTTTCTTCCGATAACCATTTGCCCAATCTGCCCCACGGGAGCCCAGACGCTTGAAGATCATAACAATAAGCTCCATAGGGAAATCTGCTACGGATACCGTTGGCTCAGCCGTCTGTTTGTCCTCGTAAATGCGGGGTGGCGTGCTAAGCCGGATAGAGCTCAATGTGTCCGAAACTGAGGCCAGCTCCTCGCGCTGACGGGAAGCCGCAAAGGCCGGCCCAGATCCAGATGATAGTGACTCCATCAGGGCTCGTATTCCGTTTGTTCGGCTTAGTTTCGGATTGCCGGTTGATGAAGATTGAGGCGGGAAGTTTTTCGATCCAGCGATGGCGGGGAGTCTGTAGCGGTGTCACACAGCACCGGGCTAATGCAAGTATGCTGTTGGTATGCATACGGATGCGCGGTGGGGTGATATCGAATCATGGGCTGGAACCGAGCCCACGACAAGTTTTGATGCCCGTCCTTAGAAGAAATTTTCGGTCTCTACATCGGAGATATATTCTTGACTCAGGGCGATCTGGATGAGTCACACCGTCAGCAACGTCAAGGTGTGATGGTTGAGAGGTTCTTGGCAATGGGCAAACCTTGACAACCACTCAGTGAAGTGGGGCAAAGCTTTCTCCCAACACACCGTTGCGGTGCGGATTGGACGACATCGCCTGATCCTCCTGTGTACTAGGTGACTTTGATGAGGAGGAGGACGATAATAGACGACAACGACAGACGACGATGACAGACGACAATGGTAGCAATGATAGCAGCAACAAGAACAGTAACCATAGCGGCAAAGACGATAGCGAGCACACAGGAAAAGTAGTCGCTCTGACATAGGAAAAATAGAGGGTCTGAATTGGACGGCTTTCATGCCATCAGGTGCGACTGGACTACACTACATTGTGCATCCACTGTCACACCAATTGCTCCAAGTTCCAACCACAAGATTACCTTGTCGTCGTCAGGACCACTCGTACCAAGAAAAAGAAGGCATCGATCTCTGTTGATTGGCTTTATCCCCGCACACCGAATGCTGTGTCTGTAGTACACTTGTACCTGATGAGTTATCCAGCCGACCCAGTCCGACGGGCCGGCGCAGGATCGGCGTTAGGGGCAAGGGGGAAGGGGGTTGCGGCACAACCACTCACCTGAACAAACATCCATGATTTAATCCAGAGCTAGCTGTCAGTTGTCAGGCGATGCATTCATACGCAGTGTAATTGTTCTGAGGGGAAATTGAGGAGGTGAACGACATTCTTTGGTTCTCTCGGCCTCTGCCTAGCTGCGATTGTGACGAGATTGACGCGTAGAGCGCCGTGGCGGATCACGGAATAGGCGCGATACGGTGCGCACCTGGTCACGGCCGGCAAGGCCCATAATGATACCAGCCCCCTTCCCGCAAGTCCTTAATAGGAGGGTGTATCCGGCCGCATTCTTGGCGTTAATATCCGCTCCATGACGGACGAGCAGACTGATGAATTGCCTTGCGTCGATTCGGTATGGGGCTCTCGATGATTTACGGGCGGCAAGCGCCATGTAATGCAATGGTGTGGCCCCGAGCCAGTCTCTGACGTTCTGACCCGCCCTGGCCTCTTCCTAAAAAAAGGCCTGGTCACCTCGATGTCGCTTCCAGGTTAGGAACGACATAACTGCGAGGGCAGACGAAACTCGGAGGGGACGAGAGGATGGACACCGATGCACCTAGCTAAACTTGAAGTCGCATTGGATTGCTGAATGTCGAGAAACCCCCTAGGCCATATCGATGCCAGGATAAAGTATCGAGTAAGTGTTGTTTTTCGACCGTTTGATTGCCGAACGACACGAGCAAACACAATGCTCGTTGACTTTACTAGAGAGACTTTGCGCACTGACAATCGCATTGTTAAGAAACTTTTGTTTGATTTGAATGGATGCAAGACTTTTGTCCCCTACGTCGGACTATTTCACTGCTTGCCCAACTCGTCGGCACGATCCGTCGCGGCTTTGACGGCGCCCTCCACAATCTCCTTCAAGCCGGCCTTCTCAAAGCTCACAAGAGCGGCATGCGTCGTGCCGTTGGGGCTGGTCACGTTCTTGCGCAGCTGCGCAGGCTCATCAGAGGACTCGACGAGCATCTTGCCCGCACCGAAGCAGGTCTGCTTCGCCAGGCGGGTGGCCTGCTCCTCGGAGAGCCCGAGCTTCGTGGCGCCGGTGATGAGGTGCTCGACGAAGGCGAAGAAGTAGGCGGGGCCGGAACCTGGTCAAAATTAGCGATGTCCCGTGTCACATAATTGAGGGCACAACATACCAGACAGTCCAGTGACAACATCCAGGAGCTCCTCCTTATCAACCCACTCTGTCGCCTTGCTCACACTGCCCATCAGCGCCGTGGTCAACGCCTTCTCATCCTCCGTCACATCCTGGCTGGCATAGATACCCGAAGCGCCCTCTCCGACCAGCGCAGGTGTGTTGGGCATCACGCGCACAATGTGGGGCGCGCTGCCGCCGCTCTGCTTGAACCACTCGGCGATGCTCTCGACCTTGTTGCCGGCCGTGATGGAGATGACGAGGGGCAGCTTCGCCGCGCCCTTCCAGCCGGCGCCGAGCTCCTCGCACACCGTCTTGCACACCTGCGGCTTGACGGCCAGGATGACGATGTCGGCGTCCTTGGAGGCCTCGAGGTTGGACGTGGTCGTGCGCACGCCCTGCGCGGCCATCTTCTCGCGGTTGACCTCCCACGGCTCGGACACGAAGATGTTCTGCTTGGGGATGTCCTTGGCGAGGAGGCCGCCGATAATGGCGGCGGCCATGTTGCCGCCACCGATGAAGGTGACCTTGGCTTGCTGGAGGCTGGGAGTCATGTTTGAGGTCGGGTTTGGTGGGATGTGGAGGGTGGTGGGTTGATGTGAGGTGAGGTTGGAACGTGGGGTTAAATCAATTCAGATCGAGAGAGTTGGAGACCCGATAACGGTCCCGCAGAT